AGGGGATTATGGTTCTACGTTTGATGCTGGGTAGCTTTTAGAAGCTCAGTGACGTTTTGAAGTGAACACAGTATTTAGAGCAGATTAGTCTGGGGCTCGATTATGAGGAAGGGGAAACCCACCATACAGTCCCCTTTTCATTCTTACAGTCATCCAGGGAACATGGCAGAAAGCCACACTCCCTCATGAGGTCACAGCCAAGTTAATCTTTAATACCTAATGAGGGCAAACAAGTTAAATCTTCACTGAAAGAATAGCAGCATTTTATAATCATATCGCCATCTGAAGCAAGCACAGAATTTTGTAGAGATGATTAAATGTTCTGCACTTAACAGGCATTTTGAGTTTCCTGTCCTTCCGTTTATGTGAACCAAACTGCTGTGCCAACCAGAACTTGGCTGTAGCAGGTTAACATTTTCCAGGTAAACTCTATTATGCCATGAAGTGCTTAAACACAGATTAATGGTCTAAACAATTACTTGTGTATTTCCTGATATGTGTATACACAAGCTACAGCTTCTGTTCAGCCTGGCCTGGCTTGGCTGGTGTCTCCTTAAAAGGATGTAGAGGCTCTGAGTGTTGGCTCGCCCTTGATGACATCATGATGTGAACAGCCCGTGCAGATTGTTATCACATAGCCCTTCCTGTTTATTCATCATGGCTGAGTTTTCTTCCAAATCTTACAGACCAGTCGGGGGTGGGGTTCAGGGGGACTGAGTGCAGGTATTCCAGTTTAGCAGATTGGGCACAATGAGGGTGCTGATGCACTTGAAACATTGGGTGGCACAGCAGTTTACCAAGCAGGTAGGACAAAGTAGGCTAAATGGTCAAACAAAAGATGTTTCAGTTTATTAAAGGCCATTCTATGTGACCAAAGCAGTGGAGTTGATCATTTATCAGATCCTTTTTTTTTTACATTCCCTCTCACCTCAGTTTAATGAGGATTTGACAGCCTCAGGTGGTAGTGTTTTAGGTTGGCGTAAACATGCTTTCTAAACTTTGGATTTAAGAGTTCCAGTGTCTTTCAACTGGATGTGAACTGCAACAGGGAGTCAGTGCAGTGGACAGAGGAGAGGTGGTGGAATCGGTTCAGTCTGTCAGTCTCCTTTTACAAAGCTCATTGTGCCTGTGAGCAGGTATATGTAGCTCCTCTACTTGGGTGTCACTGCCCAGATGCAGGGGTTAAATAGAGTATATGAATGTGTGTGACTCCATGAAAGCAGCATGAAGACGTAACATCTATTGGAAATGAACGCGTTCCCCTGTTTGGGTTGTCAGCAGCACTGCCTTTATGATTTTATACTGTAGCATGTCACATACGGTTTTGACTTTCTTGATATAATTGCAAGTCATTACTAGGAGGAAGAACATGCACTGTGTTACTGTAGTCGGCCATTCTCTACTCAGAATGGTTGAAATAAACCTTTCTATAAACTTTTCTCTACTTTGTCAGCATTTCAGAGGTTATATCCAAACAATAAAACTTGTCAGTGCCTTCATTTTCATAATGATCTAGCTCATGGGTTCTCTGGAGGACAGTCATCCCATTGAAATTGAATTAGAACAGTTCTGATAGAACCTGAGTTCATGTAGGTCATTATAAATAGCTGTAAACGAGGATGTGCAATTCTTTATTTTGGCCTAGTTAGGGGCATCTTTCTAACTAGAGGCAGCCACGATGTATACTTGGTACAATATGTGTGAAAAGGCAGATGATCCAAGTTTCTACTCATTTATAATGACTGATGATATGATGTATAACTGTAAGTTTTTAATGAATGAATTGTATTTTAAATACCAGTTTTTGAAGTTGAATAATATTTCAAAAGAATTAGTCTTGGCATCGTTTTGAGCTGCATTGTTGTGAACTCCATTCACCTGTCTTCCTAAAGACAGGTGAATGGAGTTAGACACACTGGCAGAGCGTGGCTCGACTGCACCTGGGCCCACGCCATCTGGAGGCCCAGGTGGGCTCGCTGAACAACGTGAATGTTCACATAATCTAAATCAACAGTGTGCAGCACTGCTAAGTCAGTTGAGGGATTAGTTACCTGCTACCATTAAGGTTATCGTTATTTTACCTCCTCATAGGTTATATAGTAGCTGTATTTGCACCACCTACAAAGCAGGCAAAGTTGTCTAAATCAAGCACAGCCTCCCAGCATTGGGTTGTGCTGTGTAGTGTATGGTAGCACAGACTACATTTCTTCATATAGTGTCTTTAGAATAATACATTGTGAGCTTGAGTAACTTTAGCCTAGCTTAATATTCTAAGGTACGTTGCAGTTTCTTTTAACAGATGATTGCAGAGTAGATGATTACATGGTGTGTTAGACATCGTGCGTGGTAGATCAGTAACAGGCTTGGAAATCACTCTCAGGGTAGGTTTGACCCGCCTGCTGTATTTGGGTGTGGTTTACTACATCCATACAATTCAAGAAAGTTGACATCCACAGGAAGGTCTAATTCAGCTTGATATGATTGTTTGCACTTCCTGTATTGTAGTGCATTATATGTGGTATTGCATGCCCCACCCATGTGACACCTAAATTGGGAAACGGCAAAAAAAACCCCAGTTTATTATAGATCATGCCTCTTTATTTCAATGAAGTCAGAACACTTGGCCTTGTGCGCTTAATACAAACTATTGACAAGGTGTCTGAGTAAAAGCTCTTAACCCCTGAGCTTGTTGTTGGATGGAGTGAGTACCAGTACTACTCAGAGAAAAGTGCCCATGGTAATGGAGGTTTTCAAGAGCTGCATTTATGTTGCTGGAGGTCAAAAGTCCGATGCCATATTCGTCCTCTGACATTGCAACTTTGTCAGCACTAGGGTGCTTGGAGATAAAATGTGTTATTAGAGACTGTACACAGACACCTCCGTGTAGCTGCATCAGCACAGGCACAGCACGTTAGATTTATCTTTGGGACTAAAAGCCATGAGCACAAATGTTAAGACTCCTAAGGACAATGAGCAGTAGCTGACTGTGAAGAAATTTAAACATTTAAACATAGTGAGTGATCCACAAAGAGAAGAGTAAGGACTATTACTGGAATACCTTCGTCACCACTCATAACTGCTTAGAAGAGCTTTGAACATTTTTATTATGGTTTTTATATGTCCTTAAGTCACAGGGGTTACTGAGGATTCTTTTTAACAATGTCCTGATTACATTCACAAGCTGGACATCTCTAGTACACACAGCGTAATGCAGGGTGAAACCTGCTGCTGTTCTAATGTCTTGGACTTCTGTTGTCTGAAGAGCTGATTCAGGCAGGATGGATGTTGCCAAAGTAATTCTACAGCCCTCATAGCTTGTAATTTTAACTTGTAGGTAAAATTTGTATGGGCAAAAGTATTTCTGCACTGAGTGCTAAAACCACATCCGCATTACGATTGGGTGTGGTCGGGTGTGGTTTCATGTGCTGTTGCTGTGCTGCACAGAAAGAAGCATCTAGATGGCACCAGGAGTTAGTGGTCGGCTCGTATTATATTGTTCATGATAATACAGGTTTAAGTGCTTTGGCGGTAAAATTCATTATCTTCTGATATTAGCGGTATTGTGACATTGACACATTTAGTTGAGTCCGACTGATTTTTGATGCCATTAGAACCAACAGAACAGCCAGGACGACATATCAACTGATATTAGCTTAGTGCAGGTGCATCGCATTCTTGTCCAAGCTTGTTGTTGACATAGTCTTTGGGATCCATATCAAGATTGTATAGAATGTAAAACATTTTTATAGGAGAGAAGAAAGTATTAGTTACTGTCTACTTAATGTCTCTGATTTTTATATTGGTCTAATAAATGGACAAATATCAATGTCAGTATCAGCTGCAAACCTGCAGCCTCAGACAAGCTATAGATATCAATGCTGGTATTTGAGGGTTTAAAAAAAAGTACCTTAAACATATCTTTGTATTTCTGTACTGGTAGTTCTTCTGCATACACTAGACTTTAAAACCACAACCGATCGTCATGAAATTTGTCCCTATCCTAAAATTTGCTGAGGGTCCCTGAATCGCCTAAAATTGGGCCGAATTTGTACAATGTCTGCTTGTGTTAAAGGAGAATGAACTCTGCATCCCCTTACTTTGAATTGGCAAAAAGTCTTAATAGTGGGAAAAAAAAGCTTGCATGACAAGATCAAGTAGTTCATCCAGGTATTGTTCTGGAGATGGAGTAAATTCCTTTTGTACAGGAACAGGACATGTTTTACTTTTGCATTTTCAGGTGTTCAGTGAGGTCTTTTAAACTGGGTTCATAGCCATGAAGTAAAAATGTGTTTTCCTTTGAAGATGTCTCTTTTCTTTGTCTGTTGTCCTGTTAATCGTTCTTAGTGACTGACTGGGGAGATGCATTAGTGGTAGGAGGAATTACAGTTACCCTGCCTAAAGGCAAACAGACTGCCATCACATCGTGTCTACCACAAAGTTAGAGGAAGGAAATGCTTACACACACACACACACACTGTAACGCACACACGAGGTACTCGCTCTGAGAGGTCCTTTTAAGGAAAAGACCCGGCTCATGCCCGAGTGCTGAGTGGAGCAAAAGGCAAGACTTTCAAAACTTCCAAACACAGTCCACTAGATGTTTTCAGAGTTTAACGGAAACTTGATATTCTGTGTTTATAGACACTGCTGCACCACTTGTGTTCCTGTCTACTGTGACAAATAGCCAAGATCTGAATGTGTAGCTGCATTACTAAATTCTAATAACGTTCCTTTGGTATAAATGTACAGCATCACACTATATTAATGAAAGATTCATTTATCCCTTGTGACACTTGGCACTTTAGCTTTTGGTGCATTTACCTCCAACAGTGTGTCACAAAGTTCACATCTCATAAAAACTCTGTCGAGGAGCTGGACCTCTGGTCACATGCATGTTCATCGCTTTTAGATGTGTGCCATTTGAGCCCATCTAAATTGGTACTTCACCTTTTCTATTTTTCTTTCTCTCTGTGTCTCAGTTTATTTTGATCTCCCCTTAGGCTGAGGCCAGGCTGGCAGCAAAGAGGGCAGCGAGGGCAGAGGCCAGAGAGATCCGCATGAAGGAGCTGGAGAGACAACAGAAAGAGGTACGGCAGTCAAAATACACATTAAACCCATGAAACAAGAGACACCGTATGACGGACTCTTAAGGACATCACTGCCCATGGACTGGCCTGGCACATGTTGGTTTGACCATGAGAGAAACGGTTTGAGAAGAGTGTTATCCATGTGACTTCACATCTGGAACAGTTTCAGGTTTTTATTTTGTGCCTAACAATAGGTGCTTTTGTATGTTATGCAGCTTAGTAATGTGTTACCCTAAATAACAGGATGATTTCAGCAGTCTGGACCTAGAACACTTCCTGTGAGCATTGCCTTGCGCTCTTTTACCCTGTGGGTCATAGGTGTAAACAGAGCGCTATAGCCGCAGTATTAAAGGGCACAGAGTTCCTAGCAGTCAAACTGTTGTTTATAGAAAGTGGAAAAATAAGTAAATAAAACACATTACACTATGTACAGATTTACGATCCACAGCCCCACCTCTTGGTTCATCAGCCGTACCAGTTGAATAAGCTGTGGCATCAACATTACAGTCTGACTTGTTTGTACTACAAGTCAGTGGTGTGTTAATTCAGCTTTATTTGTATAGCCCAGTACAGTTACAGGGGTTGATACTGCCTTAATTATAAACTAAGCAAACTGTCTGGGAACTCTCACATTTCTATCACCTCACATCAGCGGTCACATTGACCAATCCTATCTTTGTTCTCCTTTAAAATTTACATTCCTTTGATTTGTTTTACAAGTAAGATTTGGTGCCTCACAGAGCAAACTCTCTTCTCAATGAGGAGTCCTGTGCTTTTCAGCATTCCAGCAGCACTCAGCTATTCAGCAATAAAAACACTGATGGTGAGCCAAACCTCATTCTGCAAATGTACACACAGAGAACTGGATTAATGGTCATAAGATGAGTCTGGTCTCCGTGCTTGCACACGTGTGTGTGGGGGTGACTGTTGTTCAGTGGGTAGAGCAGTCGTCTCCCAACCAGAAGGTTGAAGGTGTGAATCTTGGTGCCTGCAGTCCACATGTCATGGTGTCCTTGGGCAAGACATTGAACCCCCCGTTGCCCCTGATGGTTAGAGCCATCGGTTGAGGTGGCGCTGCAGATGGCTGCCTCAGTTGTGTACTGGAAACAAATTCCTTGTGTGTAACATACTTGGTCAATAATAATCCAATATCAATTTGCTTATACCTAGTACATGTTTGAATGGAGTAGGAAGAAGTCAGACTTATCCAGTCCTACCCCATGACATCATCTTACCATCATTGGTTTGCAAGCAGTATCTCTACACAAATAATTCTCTTCTACACCACACAAGTAATATACTAAAAAATTATAACAGAGTGTTAACATTCATACATAATTACATTCTTAAATAATTATCTTCTACACCACACAGTAATATACTAAAGAATTATTACAAAGTGTTAACATTCATACACCACACCCACAATGTTCCATCTAATTAATCATTGAGTCTGTTCTTGCATATATCTTGATTGACACATACCTTTATATTTATGTTTAAAGGTGATTATCCTTATCCTTATTATCGTACACCCTTTAGCCAAGTTGTAAAGTAGCTTAACAGGTTGCGGTCTTTGGTCCACGCTGCAGTGGAGGCGCGGTTGTTGTTGTTGACATGATTGATCGGTCGCTATGCCTGCCACCTTCTGAAGTTTTGGATATTTTCTCACACGTTGAAGACGGGACATAAAGGTGTAATATTGGCTGTATAGCATCCAATGAGTCCGTGTGGTTGCTTCTGTTGTTTTGAGCTGGAAATTTAGCACCGTGTCCTGCCCTCATCTTGCCTATTTGAATGACAGCAGTCATTCAAAAAAAAAGTCACCTTTCCTGGTACCCTGAGAACAGTAGGACGGCTAGGCGTCGGCTAGCAGGGAGGGGGCTGAGGGCTGCCCTCACTGGGCGCCCAAGAACCCCTCCGATCAAGAAGGGGAGCTTGGTGAGTTGGATAGAGCCACCGCAAACATGTAAGCTGACTGTGATGAAAGGGCTTATGACGGTGCCTGGCTCAGTTGGTAATCGGGTGTCCAGGCATGTAATGACACATGGGTAGTAGCTGAGATGCCTGCATTCAGATATTAATCTGTGCGTTGGCCATGCTTTGTATCACATTATGTTCTGGTACATCCTAAAATCTCACATTATACCGTTGTTGGTAAAAACAACATATTGCTATGAATCCATCTGTGTTGGCTAACAATGCATTTAATGAAAATTATAACAACAACTGTTGAATAGAGTTTGGCAGGCCAAATAAGAGAACCTCAGAATTAGTTTCAGTATGTTGGAGGAAGTTGGTCATTGCTCACTGACATGGTGCATCATGCACAGGATGTGTTTTCCCTCTGGTAATGGTGCTGCAGCTATATTGTATGCAGGAATAATGTGAAAATGGTGCACCTTTGAGTTTTGACATGATAATATTATGTATCAGAGCTTCCTGAAGCTTCTCACCATTTACAATATATTTTATAAAGAAATCTGACCTCTTCAACTCGGGGTCACCACCTTGGAAATGACTTTGACTTCATGAATTCTTTGATTTGCCTGGAGTAAGAGGTCATCAGTATGGGCACATGACCTTTCATCTCAACTGAATCTATAAGTTAAGAGCAGTGGACTTGTGAGGGCAAGAGGTTGTTGATTATCTAGGATTGCTGGTGTTACTGAAGTGATGCAGTGGGCAAAGCAGTCAGCTGCAAATGGGTTTCTGAAAACCAGAATCACAAAGTAGCCAATTTCTATACTGGGCAAGCATACAAGAGAGACAGTGATAGTAAATCTGGAATAAAGTAGTGGAGCAGTGGCATGGAAAGTGCAGCAGCAAAGGTGGTTTTTAGTGTGTGAGGGATTTGGTCAGCAGAGACGAGACGAGCTCAAAGAAGCATCGGGTGCTTTAATTTACTGTAAGTGTGTTTGGCAAATGAAGCTGCAGTCTAAGTAAAAGGAGCGGTAGTTGTTTGTTGGCCTTCTTGACAGACAAACACATTTATGTATTTTAATGGCCTTGTTGGTATAAAGGTGCAGAAATAGTCTTGATGAATTTAAGGGATTTCATTTCATTTCTTGGTGAATGTTACTTACTATGCCAACTACCTACTGTATACTATACCTATTCTAACAAAACAGTGTGGATGAGATTTACCTTTGGGCAGTGTTCCCAGCCAAGCTAACTATTTGCTGTCTGTAGAGTTTTACAGCACAGACATCTCATCCAACAGTCAGCAACAAAGGAAAAGATCTAAAACCATTTCTTTAAGGGTACCTACCTAATTTATTTTAGGCCATTAGAGGCCGTAGTGAGACTCAAAACAGACAAAACCAACACAGCTGAAAGCAGCAGACTGTCATGTAGACCCCACATCCTGTCCCCTTTTCACTTGATTTATCAGACAGTGTGTAAAACCCTAGCTAACACACCTTTAATGAGCATTTGTGGAGGAATTTTTAGATTTCTTGTGTTTTAACAAACGTAAATGTGATCTTGCTGTTCTCCAAACAAGAAACGTGGGCTGGTGATCAACACGAGGAGCAGAAACACTCGTATAGTCTGGTTCTTAAAAGTCCTCTGTACTAGGATCTGCCAGAGGCCGTCATCTCACATCTGTGATCATGAGACTACAGACTTGGTAGCTTTTTGCCAACCTTAAAGAACCATGGGAAAATATGTGGGAACTCAGACTCGTAGGCCTTTAATCTCCAGTGAGCTTGGTTTCATGGGTCACTGCCGTGCACAGGAGGTTACTTCACATTTGTCTTTCTCCCTTTAGCGATAGCTGACTTCATCTGTCTCCATCACATTTGAGGCCGATTTATTTTTTTCTGTTATCATATTTGATCTCTTCCTGTCTTTTCCCCCTCCCCCCCTCATCACCGTGGATGTATAGATCTTCCAGGTGCAGAAGGTAGGCCCCCTCTTCCTCATTTCTACCTCAGACAGTGTTTGATTTCAGCCTGGTTATGTAATTACAATGGGCATGTGATAGAAAACAATGGAAATCTGGTACCTGTGCTATGTTTTCTCACCTTCCTTTCATGTCTCTCCGTAGAAATATTATGGCTTGAGCACCACATTAGATGACAGAGCGGACCGCAAATGGGGAGATATTGAACAATGGATGGTACAGTGTGTGTGTGTGTGTGTGTGCTGTGAAGACAACACTTAGAAACATAGCTTTTGTATACTAAATATTATGCATGTTACTTTGCCTCTGAACACTTCATTTCTATTTGATAGAGGCTTTTACATTTCACCAAGTGCTTCTGAATTCCATTTGATTCCTG